AGCCGGGCGGAGACAACTCGATGGGAAATCCATATCTTTCTGGTTTTGTCTCTAATTGCGAAGGAAGCTTTAGCATCGATAATAAAAGGAGAAAAGGTGATGAATGGTTCTTTTTACGGTTTTTGGCGGTTACGTTACAATGTCATACGAAATAGGCAACAAGACTCACTGCTGCGACTCGCTCTTGCACACACATGGACTGGGTGATTCAGAACCATTGTTTTCACGCTGTTCATGAAAACACGCTAATAAATTTAACACAAACTGTCGACATTGTAGTTGTATCTTTAAGCATTGTTTTTTTTATAGAGCATCATCAACATGTAAATTTAAATCACACGTTCATGACAAGTAAGTTGTCATAATGATATTGGCAAGTATCAATGTGGAGGACTCATACGTAACATGGCCATACAAAATGAGCCTGTCGTTCAGGAGTCCCCGGCAAGATTTTGAGCATGTCCAATCGCTGTGAGTCGCGTCAGTTTTGAATCCCCAGAATTGGTCCTACTAATTGACATACATATACCGAAGACCCGTTTATACTCAAAAAAGGAATGACCACGTTACTCATACGTCGAGGAGAATATTTTCAGGGCGGTGAGACAGAACTAAAAAACGTATGTGAAGTTGCGTTTGTATGTGAGAGGGAGATGTACAGGGTTTGTCCGGAAAGTAATAGGACTGAGTCGATTTATAAAAATTTAGTGAGCCAATCGTTACAATTCTTTAAAAACCTCAAAAATAGGCTCCTTCTGCGTCGATGCAGCGCTGCCAGCACGCTTTCCAAGCATTGAAGGCGTCACGGAACTCATTCTCCGGAATAGCCTTGAGAGCCGCGGTGCATGCTGCTTGGATCCCCTCTGTCGTCTCAAAATGCTTGCCTTTCATCGGCCTTTTCAGGCGAGGAAACAAAAAAAAGTCCGGGGCCACATCTGGTAGGGATGCGCGATATTCTTCAATGTATCGATATTTGGTATCGATCCGTATCGTGAGAAATTGTATCGATACAGGAAAATATCGCTGTAAAAGAATCGATACCTAAGGTATCGATACCTCGATACGGTTATTCTGTAAGTCGTAATCTTATCCGTTACAAAAAAATTAGGAATCGTGTTTGAATTTAAATCAATATATGATTGATTAATAAATTTTGGGTTCCAAAATCAAATATATTTGTTTGTATAATTTTCAGATTTAATCATTTATAACAAAAAAAAAATAAAAATAATTCTCGTATTAAAAAATACATATATAAAAGAAAATATAAAACAATACAGTTCCAATGTTTAACTTGAACTAACAAGTGTTGATATGTAAAAACTAAAATATTATAATCAACATGAATATAAATATATATAAACCAACATAATACAGGTTTTTCTTCAACTGCTACAAAAAATAACAAAAAAAAAGCAAAACTATAATAGGTTCCAGTCTTCAAAATTTAAGGAACTTAAAAATAAAAGCTCTGATAATCTTTCTCCACTAAGCCTGTTACGGTTTGGGCTAATAATATTTCCAGCTTTGGAAAAAAGCCTTTCTGACGGAACTGAGGTTCCCACAATAGATAAATATTTATGAGCTATTTCTTTCAATATATGTGACGCGTGTGTGCTCCAGTAAGATAATGGGTCTGACAATATTGGTAGTGTTTGGCTGTTTGAATATATTTTAAAATCATAGTCAAGGCTGTCCCTAGTATCCACCTGCGTTAAAGTATGTTTGGCAGCTAATTCTTCATGGTAAGCTCATAAGCTTTGAGATTTATTTAGTTGAGGTTGAGGCGGTTGAGCACTTTGACTTTGTGAGTTTGGAGCATTTTTCATTTGGTCTTGGTTATGCAATTCACGTAATTGTTGAATTGACTGGTTAATAAAAGTAACAGCATTAGCACATGCCACTGGACTATTGAAATGTAGTTTTTTAAAACGGGGGTCTAATAAGGTTGACTCAGCTAATAATTTATTTTGTTCTATAGCCCCAAACCTTTTAGAAAGTTCATTAATTGTTGTAGTTTTTAAAGCTAATATTTCTTTAGAAGATGGGGATAAATTTCCAATATTTTTAAAAAGGCAGTTAACAATAGGTATAATCTTACTTGATGTTAAATATTGCTCGCCGCTGACTTCTTTTGAAACTGCCTCGATAGGAGATAGAATATTTAAAAGTTCTTTTATTTTTTCCAATTCAGATGCATCTAACATGGCTGGTGACTTTGGGTTTTTTAGTAAAATTGGAGCTATATATTCATATAAGTTAGTGAATCTGTCCAACATGTAAAAGGTCGAATTCCACCTAGTTGGCACAGATTGTATTAATCTTAAAATGTTATTGTCTGGCTGTGCTCTTCTTAAATCATCGGCTGCCGATGCCGCAACTTTCTCAATCCGCGGATCGTATGATCCGATATACAAGCAAAAGTATCGATATTAGTGATGTATCGCAATGAAAATATCGATACAAAATATCGGGTATCGAAAGCAGAAGTATCGATACTTTAAAAGATCGTATCGTATCGCGCATCCCTAACATCTGGGCTGTAGGGTGGCTGCGGAAGCGTTGGGATGCCGGCCTTGGTCAGGTAGCTGTTCCCAAGAAAGGCGGTGTGAGCCGGGGCGTTGTCGTGGTGCAACTTCCAGTCGGCTGCGATGTCTTGTCGGACCCAGATTTTGGTAAATTTAACATCTGGGCAATTAAACGAATACTTAGTCGACAGTCTGAGTTCAAAACTTTGCGCAGACGAGTCACATTATCGGTGTTTGCCGAAGTCGAAGGTCTTCCAGCATGGTCTTCATCAGCGACCTCTTCCCGGCCCTCCAAAAAGCCCTGGTGAAACCGAAACACACCACTTCTTGCTAAAGCAACACCTGGGTATGCCTGCTTGATCATATCAAACGACTCTGTCGCAGATTTACCGAGTTTCACACATAATTTAATTGCGTACCTCTGCTCTAACGAACGCTGCATTTTCGGCTTGCACCACTCACAGAAATACCTCGCGCGAAAATGCCTGTCCTGACTCTCCAAGTGCTTGGAGACAACTGACCAGCCGCTCATTCGTTGGCTAGGAACGCCCTCTACGGAATCCAGTCGGTGCACGAACAATTTTAATGGTACCCATTCACGTACAGGCGGACTGCAGGCAATGGACTGAAATTTGACCTGCAGTCGTGGCCTGCGATATAGACCATACACGTTCAGTTGTATACAAACGATGCGGCCTGCAGGCCATCGCCTGACAGTCCTAGAACTGCAGGTCGCCTCATTATTTGCCATACATCCACAGTCCGTCGCAAAAGTTTCGCAGTTCTTGCTTGTAGTGTGTAGACAAAAGAACAATAAAGCAGTGGTAAAATGTTAAGAAAAAAGAAACTTATTTTGTTACTTTTGATTTTGCTATTAACTAATGAACGCGGAAAAAATGGCAAACGTTTTTGGGTGAAGGAATGGTTAAGAGATCGTGAAAATTTATCTCATATGAAACTCCTGAAGCGATTGAAAGATTCCAGCAGCGAAGATTTTAAAAATTATCTTAGGATGGACGAGGCTTCTTTCAGAAAATTATTAACTTTAGTTAAACCCCACATAAAACGACAGAATACAGTAATGAGAAAAGCCATTAGTGCTGAAGAAAGGTTAATAGTGACTTTGCGGTATCTGGCAACTGGACGTACATTTGAGGATTTGAAATTTTCTGCCATTATTTCTCCCCAAGCACTAGGAAAAATTATACCAGAAACCTGCGAATGGATTTACAAGGCGTTGAAAAAGGAATATATGAAGGTAAGTTCATAAAATTTTGGAATACAGTGCATAATATTTTAGAAAGAAATGGAATAGTTGAAGGAGATTGAAAGCCAAAATTTTTAGAAGCGTACATTTATAAAAGTACCTAGGTATTTATTTTTTAACCTAAATACCTCGCTAATATTCTTATTAAAAATTATGTATTTTATGCTTGCATTCCAAAATTTTCGCTTTTGTCGTAATTTGAAGTAATTTTTTATGTTTTAGTAAAATTTCAAAATAATATTTCAACTACGTATTTTATTGAAAAATGTATCCTTACATAAAAACTTAAAGGTGAACAACTTGTGTTATAGAAACGAATTTTAAATAAACTTTTGATTTCTATTGTCAAAAACATAGACAATAGGTAATAATGAACAAGTCGACAAGTAAAAACAAAACTTTAAGTATGTAGTCATTGAAGTTTCGTAAATTCATCGATTAAAAACCAGCAATTCAGTTAAAGATCCTTTAAGTTTCGACGTGTTGCCGCTTTCCTCCATTGTTTCAGGGGTAGTTTTATCAAGAGGTCTTATATAGTTTATATTTATGTCGAGGTTTTCTCCTTCTGCATTTGTGTACTGTGTTTCAGAAATAGTTGCTGAGGGTCGGGAAAGAGTGACATTTTGTTGCTGATTGTAAGTTGATGTGTGTTGCGAAGAAGTGAAAGTTTGTTGTTGCTGATTTGTTAATATGGGTTGGAAAGGAGAAGGAGTTAAAGGTTGTGGCTGTTGATTGTATTGAAGTTGCATTGGCAACATAGTATTATAATGAGATGAAACGCTATGTGCCGAATTTATACATATATGAGATTCCTCGCATAATTTCTTTTGAACACCAAGGAAGAGAAGACGGTGAAGTAATAATTCAGCATACATTTTCTGGTCGCTGTCCATTCGGCGCAGTTTATGGGCCACATTTTCTCCAATACTGTCACATTCATCATTTTCTCTGTCCAACTTAGCGCAAATCCTTTGGATACTTTCTTCCTGTCCATACTTCTTTCTTTTTGCACTATTAGAAGATCTGGAAGTTGATGGACGTGAATAGGTTGATGACTGATGCGGTGTTTGTGGTGGTGATAGCTGATATATTTCAGACGGTGCTTGCAACGCATCTTCAGTAAGCGGTGAAAATTGAGTATCATGCTGGGTGACATCTTCCTGAAAGTACAAAATACAAAATGTATATTATAATTTTTTTTACAGTTTCCAAAAACATCAGAGGAGTGGCAAGAAATAGCTTATAATATTGAAACCAGATGGAACTTTCCTAATTGTGGAGGATCTATTGATGGTAAACATCTGCGAATTGTTAAACCAGCCAACAGCGGGTCATATTTTTTTAACTACAAAGACTATCACAGTATAGTTCTCATGGCCCTTGTTAATGCTGATTACGAATTCATATATGTTAATGTAGGCTGTAATGGGCGAGTTTCTGATGGAGGGGTCTTAGAATATACAAAATTTTACGATAAACTTATAGAAAAAAAGCTAAATTTGCCTTCTAATGACGTAACAAAGCATAATTTAAATTTCGTTTTTGTGGCAGATGATGCGTTTGCATTACATGAAAATATTTTAAAACCTTTCCCGGGAAACAATTTAACAAAAGAAGAATCTATTTTCAATTATAGACTTAGCCGTGTGCGCCGCACGGTTGAGAACGCGTTCGGTATATTAGCTAATCGCTTTCGAGTATTCCATACTCCAATTAATATGCAACCTGACAAAATTGACAAAATTGTACTAGCAGCTTGCGCGTTGCATAATTTTTTGAGACGTTCTAAAACTTCATATATAACGAGAAATGATGTTGACACCGAAATTATTGACACAGGGGATATAATAAGGGGAGACTGGAGAGCAGAAAGACCATTAGATAATTTACAACCAGGATATGGTCGTAATGCTTCACGTGAAGCCAAAGAAAATAGAGTGAATTATAAAAATTTCTTTAATACTGTTGGAAAAGTTTCCTGGCAAGAAAATTTTATTTAATCAATGTACCTATTATAATATGTATCTTACTTGATAATTTTGTAGAATTAAAGAATTTATTTTAGACAAGAAATAAAAAGATTTTATTTGATTTTTTTATTTGCAAAAAATTTCCTTACCTCATTATTGGCATCGTCACCCTCCGACTCCGACTCATCATCATTTGAAACTGACATCCTAGGTTCTTCCTGCGAAGCCGTAAAAAGCAGTAATTTATAATACCAAAGAGTTGGCTCATACAGCTCTTCTGTAGATGATCCACTTCTTTTTGATTTTAGAACTTTTTTGTGCTCCTTTCGAAAGGCACTTCTAATATTATTAATTTTCTTTTTTACCATATCCATCGAAGCATTTTTGTCTACGGTTTTGCAATAACTTATAAGTTTCTCATACGCCTTTGCCTTTTCTTTTCGATTTGAATACTGTTTTGACTTAATATTCCATAAACTTGGTAACTGTCGATAAATATCAATAAAACCAGTAACAAACGATGGCTGATTTAACGTCACATCAGACATTTTTTACCAAAACTGTGTACACAATTTTTAAATACAATGAAAGTCGCTATCGTACGACCCGGACTGACGATTAACCACCACACACGTACACACTTTGTGCAATCTTTGTAAACTGCAGGCACAGACCTGCCGGCCACCTGTACGTGTATGCTGAAATTTGGACTGACGGCCAGATCGTTCACAGTTCGGGACTGCAGTCCGCCTGTACGTGAATGGGTACCATAATACTTTGAATTAGTTAGCGTCAAAGAGCCTCCTTAGATGAAAAAAATGCGTTACTTATTAATTTTATTTTCTGACAAATGAATCACGGCCTCCTTAGAAAAAAAATTAACACAGAACGTTAGTGTGATGATATTTCGATCATACTTCAGTCTTTTATGCACTTGTGAGACATCGCTTGGCTGGAAATTATACGCTCATTTCATAAATCGAAAAATAGCGGCCATAAGAACAATGAAAGTTGAGACAGGTTGCGGGAAAACAAAACGATTGAGACATTTCATACACGCTATCTTATTTGTTACGGATTTACTGGCAAAAAACAGAATTAGGTATTTTCGGTTTTTCGCCGATATTTCCAAAGCCAATGGACCGATCGTAAATGTGAAGCCGGCTATCGAATGCAAGTTTCCTCTAAAACCCTCCCCATTTAACTTTTACTGTAGGTATAACAGGATCTGGGATCTCTGTGTAGCGAAGGGAATCTGGGACACACTGTATGTTTCCAAAGGCAATCTGATTTTATATGGAGTTGCTGACGAAAACATTGGGCGTTGTATCAAGTTAATAAGTCTTGACATACTTACGTAATGTCGGACGCAGAATTTGAATATTGTTAAAAAATCGTGATAAGCCTTAGTTCTGAATTTAAAGTGGGGTCCTGGAGTCAGACTGATGTCAGTTCTACAATCCTGACTTAGTACTTTGAAGGGCAGAACTTTTACTTTCGCTAGCCGTTGTTCTTAGTGAATACTTACGAAATTTAGGGTGTTGAAGCCGAATATTATCGACAAAAAAAAAAGAGATAAATCCAGGATTTAAGTTTATAGTAGAACTTTCATAGTTTGTGACTTCCCGTGAATCCTAGCGCTAAACTGATGCCAGATTCGGAATTTACGCATGTTATTTACACAGGAAATAAGCCAATTGTCAATTTTACTTGGAAAACGCCACAGAGGTGGTCAAAACGACGTACAATAAACAGAAATCTGAAAGTATGATTTAGCCAAACAATGAAGTTCTATGAACATAGAAACTACATGATAAGTTTCAGGAGTTACATCCCTTTGGACTCTCAAAATTTACATTCCTTATTTCCATTCTCCCCTGTAACGTTGTACCCGTTTTACTCTGAGAGACAAAGCAAAGCCAACCATTATTCACCACGTTCTCCGGAGATAAAGGAACAATTTTATCAGCAAAACAGTTGAACTGCTAACCGAACGCAATCTTGTTTCGAGGCCATTAAGTTAATTAGTAGCAACCCTTTCTAAGAGAGAGAAACACTTATTCTGATGCGCTTAAGAGGAACAAAGAAAATCGGAGCCTTGGGAAGTGATTTATGCAGCCAAAGAATGTATTTATTCTTCTCGTTATGAAAGCTGATAAGTTGAATTTACGGGTGATGTAATTGTGAATAAAATGGGGAAATTTTTTCAGTTGTTAGACTTCTTAGAAGGGTCAACGGCTTAATAGATTCTCAAAACTGTTGAAGTATCTGGACTGCTAGAAAGACGTCATTGTTCAATTCGGCCAGCTTTTTTTATACTGAAGCAGTCGTCTAGGCTAGAACTAAAATACCGCGACTGCTATAAGGAACAAGTTCTAGGTGAATATGACCCGCACGGGTAAAATTGACATTATGTTGTTTTTTTTTTGACATTATATTGATTTTTTGTGACATTAGGTAGGTTTTTCTACAAGTTGTTAACTTAGCGCTAGCTGATGGACACTTGTTGTGAACTCGTTTTGTAGTTGTACGTGTTGCCTAACCATCATGATGCTTCAGTTATCAATGTTTGGCTCTAATGTGATGTAAAAATCTGCTTCACAGATGGCAATATTGGAGGTCTAAGCTGTGAGTTGTATACTATAGCTACAAGGAAACGGTGGTGCATAGGTGCATAGTGAGGATATGTGTGCTAATAATATGTGTTGATGATAATTCATTGGTTTCTTGTCTCAAATACACTTACTAGGGATTCAACGCTAGAAATTAGTTGCGCATCCACTTTTTCTTATGCATTCTGGAAATTACATAAGCAAATTTGCTGAATCTAAAAAGTGAAAGAGATAAGAAAAGAAAATCCCTTGTTCGTAAAGGAAAGTGAAAGTGAAAACGTAATTACATAATTTTTTATTTCCAGTCATATAAATCTTATAGATATTTATTTTTCGATGTCAATAGAAAATAATAAAACTGTATTGCTAATTTGCATGTATCCGACAAAGATAGACGATGTTTTCATGATGCATGATCGATCATATTTGAAAGATGGATAGTTAGGTTATGTTAAAGCAGGTTAGGTTGTTTTCGAATGATACTTTGGTCTTTGGTGTTCCTGTGTTAAAGTATTCTACATATTACTGTCTTTTTCAAAACAAAAACTCCCCACTAAAATTAATATTAAGGTATCACTCAAAAGGATGAAATAACATGAAAATACAAATAGTCAGTGAAATAACCTAACTTCGTAAAATCATAATATAAATTTGTTGTCATTATGTTCCTGACATTGTGATTTACTTATTTCAGTACAATTTATGGTATGACGTAAGTCATCTTTCGTGATTTTGACTATACTTCATTGGCAGTATATTCAGTTATGATTTTCTCACATAGCAAATATCACTGATTTTATACGCATGCAAACCAATACACATAATCATCCAGATGTGAACTTACTATTCAACCAACTTTCTTTGTTTCACATCTTCTCAGAGATGAAAGCTACGGACTACTCGGCTTCAAAAAACATATGCAACCAACAATGCGTGTACGTGTAGTTGAGCCGTTCCCTATTGGATGTAGGTCATCGAAGGCAGCGCTTGGTGTTTTCTCGAACTCATGCAGATTGGGATATCGACGACTGGAACATACTTTTTACAGACGAGTCTCGTTTTACGAGATATTCACCTGATGGTCGCCAAAGAGTGTAGAGAAGGCGTGGAGAACGCTACGCCCAAAGTTGTTTCGCTGATAGAGTTAGAGTGCAATTTGGTGGTGGAGGAGTGGGATGGGGCGGTATTTCTTTGGAATCCCGCACAGATGTTGTTTCGCTACGACACCTTCATGCTGACAGGTACATTAGATAGTGTTTGGAAGAACATGTGGTTCCTCAGATGTCCTTTATATGAGAACATTTTCTCCTAATGCAAGATAATGCTCGGGCAGATATAGCCAGAATGACAAGGCAATACCTCAAAGATGTTGGAATTCAAGTACTAGACTGGCCGCCAAGGAGTCCGGATCTCAACCCAATTGAGCACATGTGGGATACATTAGGATACAGGCTTAGGCAGAACTATGGAGAATTTTAAACTGTGGCTGCGTTGGAACAAGCGCTGGTAATCAAAACACAATAGCTGGCTCAACTGAGCCTATGCTAGAGAGGATGAGAGCTGTTGTTCAAGCCCGAGGAGGAAATACTGGTTTTTGGTAACAATTTCTAATTACCAATGATATCACTGTAATTTTGTGATTTTCAATTTGCATTGTTAGATTGATACCTTTTAGTTCATTGTTGATTGTAAATATGGTATAGTTATAAGGCAGATTGTTTCGTACATACACCATCACTCCATCGTTTTGATTATGGTTACCAAAATTATACAATGTATCGTACCCTTCTAAATGAAACAGAGTCACATCGCCCACTTGCCATGTTTCGGATAGAATGATTATACCTATATCACTTTGTATTCTTTTCAAAATTAATTTAAAGTAGTCAAAGTTATGTTTTATACTTCTGATGTTCATATGATAAATTCTAACAGATATTTCAGGATTTTGTAAAAAAGAATCTAGCTCGCTAGTATCATGAGCAGTATTAGTACTAATACGTTGAATTTGGAAGTTATTTACATAGTCGTGTGTCATAAATGATGTAATATTCTAAAATTTTGGCTAAAATTTCATCTTTCTTAAAAAAGGATTTTCAAGTTGTACTGCTGTTGATAATATAGAAAAGTTGGACATTTTTTATCTAATGGTGAGTGGTTGGTACTATAATTTTTGTTATATCTATAGTTTGAAAATTTGCAATTACAACATACAACCGGTTCATGCTTACAACAGTCAGTATCGTGTACATCCTCTTTGCTGCAGTTGCTACAGGTCTTGTTATTGCGGCATTTTTTCTCGGTGTGATTGAAAGAAATCTCGAAAGATGAGATTTTGATCGTCATTTGCTTAGT